TGCTCTGCTCTCTGAGACCCCCCTGCAGTGCTGCACCAGCTCTGGGGTCTGCAGCAGAAAGGACAAGGACCTGTTGGAATGAGTCCAGAGGAGGCCCCCAGGATGATGAGAGGGACAGAGCATCTCTGCTGTGAGGAAAGGCTGAGGGAACTGGGATTGTTCATCCTGAAAAAGAGAAGGCTTGGGGTGACCTAATGATGGCTTTCCACTGCCTGAAGGGAGCCTATAACAAAGAGGGAGAGGGACTTTTTACAAGAGCACAGAGTGACAGGACAAGGGGGAATAACTTCAAACTGAAAGAGACTAGATTTAGATTAGGTTTGAGAAAAACATTCTTTACTGTGAGGGTGGTGAGGGGTGGAACAGGTTGCTCAGAGAAGCTGTGGATGCCCCATTACTGGAAGTGTTTCAAGGCCAGGTTGGATGGGGCTCTGAGTAGCCTGGTTTAGTGAAAGGTGTCCTGGCCCATGGCAGAGGGGTTGGAATGAGATGCTTGCAACCCAAACCACTCTGATTCTTCAATCTTACCCCTTCTCTAACTTTCCTTTATCCTGATCATAGGTGCTTGTAGTCAGTCCCTGTATTTTGCTGTTTCTTTCTCTGTAAAATGACCTCCAAAGATCTATTGGAGCTGAGGTCACTGTGGGTTCAAGCCAAGAGCTAGCTGGAAACCTTTTTGATAATGTACTTTCAGTTGTAAACTGCTAGTCAGATGAAAACAAAATTTTTCATGGAAATGTTTCTGTTTCAACAAAAGCTTTGAAAGGTTATTCTGGTCTAGCTTGGATGAGGACGGGTTGGAGGGAGGCAAGGAAAGTTATAATTTCCCCTTGATATACTTCATTACAAGTGAACTTAGCTCAGATGTTTTAAATCCTATCTGGGTGTCCAATAGCATAAGGACTAAAATGAAGTGGGTCATCATTCCAGGTGAATATGCCTCTTGCTAGGCAAGTGGAACCACTTGTAATGGTTTTGAAAATAAAAAACAATACAAATTTGGTTGTATTTGGGATGCTGAGGAAAACGCATATCAAGCGTTCTGCATTTCTGTCAGTGTTTTGTTTTGGGGTTTTTTTTGTGGCCAGTTCCATCCAAACGTGGAACTAGAGCTGCTTAAAGAAAGCATAGAGCACAGATAACACACTACTGTTATGTGCCTCTCAGGACCTAGAGAGTCCAAATAGGGTTTATATGTGGAGATTCAGCTGGGATATTTGTAAGGACAAACCTGAATCTGAGCTCTTTCCAGCTTAGAATCCAATCTGTTCGAGATGCATAGTTGTGTCTGTCTTCCCTTCCTCAGCAGTCTCTTCATGCCTGTGGTAACCTAATATGTGGGCACTGCCAACCAGTGGTTCTCCATGGAGGAAAAGAGCTTCCCAGTCTATCAGAAACTCTTCCTCTTTTCCATGCTTATAGTGACCCAAAAAGCCGCTGGAAAATCTGCTAGGTCTGGTGGCTGCTTTGCACAGCTCTTGCCCCTCTCTTTAAACCAGACTTGTTTTTATCAGGGGCCATTTACATGGAAAAATGCCATTCTTGGATCTCAGAATGGAGTAGTCACATAAGAGTCAGCCTTTGAGTGTTTGCAGAAGCCTGCAAATAGCTTCTTAAACTGGGGCAGAACAGGCAGGCAGGGCTTTTAGCTTGGAGTATGCCAGAAACAGTCTTTGCCATCACTTGATCTAGGATTGTCTGCTTGAGGAATTGTGGAAGGAAAACAGACTGATTTACAGCCTGTTAAAAGTTAGCATTCCTCAGCGTAGTCTGCACAGCCTGAGTTCAGGGGGGAACCATCTGTGATCAAAGAACAAATTTATCTCTCTGCATTAGTCATAAGGCAGGATCCTTGAGAGGAGATAGACACACATTGTAAAGCTTTGCTGGAAAGTTACTGGACCCAAGATTAATTGGAGTCCAGTGATGTTGGAGAGGAGGGCTGTACATCTGAGTGAGACTTATGCTAGTTGTGCTGGCTGCAAAATGCTGGAGTTGAGTTTTACCTCTATATTCTTCCAAGTTCAGAAGACAAAGTCAGCATTTTGTGCCTGCCCAAAGAGGAGCTAAGGGAATAAGCAGCAAAGAAATGTCCCTCTGCCAGCTGAAGGGAAGTTCCCTTCTGCCAGCTCAGATCCCGTGATTGCTTTGCTATCCAAGAGCTTGTCAGATGGTAGGTGTTGGGTGTGCTTCACAGGCCATGAGGATGTCTGAGGTGGAGCCCAGCCACCAAGAGTGCAGTCCAGAAACAGGATCAAAATATCTTAATTAAAAAGTGTATGTGTGTGTAATTAAACAGAATGTCCCTTTCTACTGAATCTGAGGAAATGTTACAGAAAGAAGGAAAAGTAGACAGACAATCTAAACAGCAGATTTAATTCAGTGATATTTTGGGTCTTTCTTACTGTTATCTTCAGAAGCAACTGCATGGTTGGCAGGCTGGGAATGAGTTGCTCTGTATCATTACTGCACAAGCCACTGTGTGGGAGAAGGTAGCAAAGAGCAGTCACCTGGGAAAGGCCTCTGGACCCATGATGGTAGAAAATAACAGTCTGAGTGGCCATGAGAAAACTGTAACCAGGTAATGACTGAATTTAAAAGGAATTTCAAAGTACATTTAATTGCTATTAGGTTAGAATCAAAGGAGCTGCACTGGTTCAGTGCTTGGTTTTGTTTGTCTTGTTCAGATACTTCCCTTTGGGGCTTTGTAGAGGTGCTATAATTTTCCTTTAATCTTGACAAAAGTTAGTGATAGTATGAATCAGGACATCAGTATTGTGTTGAGAACACAAGATTAAGCTGTTTCTCTCCCCAAAAGGTGAAAGGTTTGCTCAGTATGACTGAGGAATAATAATTTCCTGTAAAAAGCTGCTGGAGTTTCCTTGGGGCTTTTTCTTTTGAAAGACATCTGCCCTAATCCAGTGTGACTAGAACTGTTATCTAAGACAGTGTACTTGTGAGGATGAGCAAATACTCTGCTTTATGAAACTTGCCAAGTGATGGGATGTTACCCTATAATGCCCAAGGGCTTCCCAGTTATATGTTAGTAACCCATGGGCACCACCTGCCATATTTCTTCCTTTCTATGTGTCAGCAGTGCAGTGCTGTTGTGGCAGGGTTTTGCCTTTGACAGGTGTACATGGCTGGCCTGGTTTGTGTGGCAGTGCTCTCTGCCCCCAGGGTAGCAAAGGATGAGCCCCAGTGCAGTTTCCCCCACAGCTGCAGGGGCCGTGTGCCTGAACACAGTGGCCATGGCAGGGAGGGATGCTCCCTGCACCTTCTCCTGCCTTCTGTACACACCAGCCTGGAGCTCCTGCCTCTTCCCAAAGATGGGTTGTGCTCATGCACAGTGCCGTGCTGCAGGCTCACCTGCACTGGGTGTTAGAGGCAAGAGGATTCTTTCAGATGTCCTCTGGCTGCTGCTCAGGGCAGTGATGCAGAGCTGGCAGTGCCCTCCAGGGCCCAGGCTGTGAGTGCCAGCCAGCCTGGGCAGAGCCTCTGCCCATGGCAGCAAAACCGTGTGTGACACACAGGCATCAGCGAGCCGTGGTTCTGCTGATCCCAGCAGCGCAGGTGGCTGGTACTGGGCTGGTGCTTGGGGTCTTGGGATAACTTACTGTGCTTACACAGCTTCAATATTCTCTAAAGCCAACAGGCTGTGCTTTGTGACCCGTTTCAGCCTTGGCCACTGCCACCTTTTTCTCCCGCTGGCTTTTTCTTCCCAGCAGCTCCGTTCCCATCTTAGAGCCCAGCCTCCTGGCCCTTGGGGCTTCCTACAGCTCACCCCTGCCCTCTGAGCTTCTGCCCATCTTGTTCCTGCACAGAGCAGCATGTGCAGTGCTTGATGTGCAGAGTGAGCTGTACAGTCATGTCATGTGCATGCACAAATCAAAGTCACAGGCTGGAGTGGAGGGTGGCAACAGGCTTACTGCTGCTGGCTGGGAGCAGGAGCTCCTACTTTCAGCTAATCCCTCCTTTGAAATCAGAGGAAGCAGCTCGCAGGAAGTGTGACATGCTTTCGACAGCTCCTGTAATCCCTGAGCTGTCTGTCCCAGTGCAGAGGCCCTTGCCATGAGCTCCATCTGGTGTAGGGTGTGTGTGCCTGTTGTCTCATAAAGCAGTCACAGCTCTGCCCTTCTGCCAGGTATAAGTTCAGGTCTTTGATTTTAAGCACTTGTTTGTTAGATTCAAGTAAAAGATTTAATAAACCTGGGCTGTCTGTATTGCCTGTACCCTCACTCTCTTCTGGCTGCCCCCTTTCTACATGGCATTATTTTGCTTGCTTGGAGAAACTTCATGATACTACTTGCATCCTTCCTTTCTTCTTTCTCCTTCCACTGTTCAGTTTAACCTTGTAATTGTTGTTTCTTGCCCATGCAAAACCTCTGGATTTCATGAAATTCAGCTCCACAACACTAGGTATTTAACATCTCTCATCTCAGGCACATTGGTTAGACTCTTGCATGTGAATCCTGTTGGCAGGACTTGCTGTGAGCATGCTCAGAGGGAGTGCTCTGAGCCTGCTGTCTGGCAACAGACGAGGGAAGGCTCCTTTGTCATGCCATGGCATTTACTTCCTTTAATGTGGTTCTTGGATTTTACAGGTAGCCTGAGCAGTTTGCCCAATGGAAAAAGACAAGGTCTTAACCCTTTCAGTGAGTATCTTGTCAAAATTTTCTCTTTTTTACTGTAATAAGCATGTATTGCAGAATTCATTCTCTCCTGTTCTCCTATGTTCATGAACAGCAGTATAGAACCAGCTGGAAACCAAAGCTGTTCTTAAGCTGTGTAAATATACCAACATGCAGCTCCATTGTATCATTTCAAAGTCCAGCTCTGTCTTTCGCTGGAATAGACGATATGTTGCTAAGGAATTAGAATAGTATAAAGCAGCTATGGGATGACTACTCTCCTGTCCTACTCTTCCTTCTTCTATCAAGCAATAATTTAGGTGATTTGTTGTGTTTGCATTACATTACTCCATGGACAAATTCCCATGAAGACTCTTCTCTATCGTGGTAAAGGTCTGCTCTCCCCTGTATTTTGTGGCATTGAATCACATGGACCCTTTCATCAGGCATGAACATCATTTGCTTTGCTTTTAGACTTGCTGCCTCATGGTTTTGTTGGGTACCTCTCAGTTTGGATTGTAAGAAGCAGTGAGAAGTTCTTCCCTGCCTATATCTTCTGCCATTCATTCTATAGCTGTCCTACACGTCTGGTTAGACTCCTTTTAGTGTTGAGGAGACCTAGGCTGTGTATTTGTTTAATGCCAGAAGTCTTCCTATACCTCTTGCTGTCCTTCTTATCTTTCTGGGGAATGTATCTGGCCCTGGTGAGATGGGCTGAACAGAAAACTGAAGCTAAAGAGCAACTATACTTTGTTACATTGATGATGTGATGTTTCTTGGTATGTCCTCCATTCTGAGTATGTACTCAGTTTTTGCCTGCTGCTAAAAGCTGAGCAGAGGCATTTGAACAATTGCTGTGGCTTCAGCCCCTTCCTTGTCACTCAGAGTTCTCAGTTTAGGACAGGTCATCCACACTCCCACGCTGCACTGCACTTACAGACATGGAAAACAATCTGTTGTTGGTATGAGCTGGTCATTGAGCACTGCAGGCACCCTTTGCAGAGCTGTGCAATTGACTGCAAATATGGCTACCTGAAATAATTTTGCATTTGTCAATATTTGCCCCCTGTGACAGGGCATGTTGATCAGCACTGATCCCACTGAGGCCTTTCCTCTCAGTGAGGTAACCTTTCCCCTCTTTGAAAACCAAATCCCTACTTTTGTTTTCTCTTTAGCTTGTTTTCACCTGTAATTAATTCACAGAGCTCTAGCTCTGATCCCGTAAGAGCTTTGGTTCTTTAAGAACCTTTGGTGAGGTGCTTAACAAAAGCTTTCTGAGAAAAGGCCTCCAAGACCTGCTTGTGTGCTGGGGAAGGAGGCAGCTGGCTGTGCCTGATGGGGAGATGGTGGCAGGGCAGCCTGGCAGCAGTGGTCTCTGCATCAGCTGTGCCAGGCACAAGAGCAGAGCAAGGGGTGTTGGACCAGTTGTTTCCCTAGACTGCATGCCCAGTTCCAAGGAGGGGAAGGAAAGTGATGTTTTGTGTTTAAAAATATGTCAGTCCCTAAGGCTCCATGTGACTCATTCATGCTTTTTCCAGCAAGGCTGTCTCATTAGCCCCTGGTTGTTTTCAGCCTCACTGCTTACTTTGGGATCCCAGCTTTCTGGGGCCATGGCTTCAGCAGAGGCTATACTGGATCTTTATCAGTTTCAGGTTTCTTTTTGTTTTCATTTGCCTTTTTCCCTTACTTATTCTACTTCTGTTCTGTTTTTCCCTCCTTGCCCACCCCACCCTACTCTTTCAGTAGGTCGCCTGGTGTAGCAGCAGAAAACAAGAAGGGAAGGCAGGAGCTGACCCAAAGGAAGAAAAGATCCAGTGACAGATGGACAGACACCTTGCTGCTTGTGAGCAAGCACACAGCATCAGCGACATCCAGTGTAGCAGAAGTGGCACCCAGAACATTTGCACTTTTAAAAAATTGGTTTGAGTTTGTTTTAAATTGCTTTTCAATGCCATTATCTAATACTTTGGAAAGTGGAGGGGAAGCAGGATCATGACTTTTTAAAATTGGAACAGCTACTGATGATGTAAAATTGAGTTCACTGGGACTCAAAGAATTTTATATACTGTATATAAATATATATGTAAATTGTACAGTTGTCTTGTACAGGGGTTGGAGTCACTGTTCTGTTCCTCCCTTTGCTTTTGAAGGCTGTTAGGGTTAGAGGGACACTTTGAATTTAATGGATTATAGTAATGCATTCATTTCTGCCACCAAGCCATCATTCAGTGGTGAGCCTTAACAGCACCTCCATGCAGAAAGGAGCCAGAGTATCAGCATGAATTGTTGTTGCAGATGTGCACACTGCGCCCCAGATACCAAATGCTTCTTGAGAGCAGCTGAACCCCTTTCCTTACAATAAAGCTCTCTGAAACTCAGGTAATTGGGCTTTTGAGAGCACAGATTTCATGTAAGTATTGGTGCACTGCAAAGCTGCCTAAAGTTGGGATAGAAAAGGGTTGTATTAGGGATATACAAAAGTAGTTTGTGCACTTGTTTCAAGTTGGGCAGAAATGAAATACAAATGCATTGCTGTTCATGCTCAGATAAAATGCTTAGCAAAGATGTGCCATGCCTCTGGAATCTAAAGCTCTAGGAAGGATGTGGGAGCCATAGGCCTAGTAGAGTCAGTGGAGTGAAGACTTGCATCTTCCTCTCTGACAAAGTGTTCATCTGTGTGTTGTACAACAATAAACATTTTGAGAAGCCTGCTAAAAGCAGCATTAGCCTGCCCTGTGCTTTGCTGACGAGCAAAGAACATACTTATCAGTGCAGACAGACACAGTTGTGCTGCTGGTCCCCAAGGGTCTGCTTTACTTATGTTTCAGCAGTACAGCCTGGGCCATGCTCACTGGTGAAGGTCTCTCAGCAGTGACTTTTCTTGTCCTTGGTGGTTGTGAATCCAAGCTCTCCTCCTGCAGAGTGGTGTGCCTGCCCACTTTGCCTGATTTGCTCTTGCCAGTTCCTCCTGGGTACTGTCACACTGGGGTGTGATTAGCACTAATAGTGAAGGCTTGGAGTGAGGAGTCTGGTGTTCTTGGAGGCCACTGGGTCAGTGTCAACCACTAGAGTTTTACCAAAGTTGTTTCTTTGTCAGGGGTGCCCATATCAGCAATCCTAGATTTGGGCAGAGTGTGATGGGACACGCAGTGTTTTGCTTTGTGTATTTCCAACCACTGGCAGCACTTGCCTGTTCTGAGCAGCCTCCCACTTCAGACCTGGTGATCCTTCTGCCACTGGACCAAGAACCTGCTAGAAGAAACTGTAGTGAAGGTGATGAAATGACATGCTAATATGAGATCACACCAACAATTGCTTGAAACAGCAATAAGTTAGTGTAGAGACTGGACTTATCCCTCAAGGTTCTGTTGCTTTAGTAAAAGATGATTCAAGACAGCATTTTCACTCTCATGTCATCATGACAATAGCATGAGATAAATACATCACCAAAAAAAGTGTCCTGATGCAGTAAGTTAGTGCTTGTTGACAAAATGGGAAGTTAAATAAAAGAAAAACTAACAAGCCTTTCTATAAATAACTGTTTAAGGGTAGTAATAACTCTTCCTCTGGGAAGTATATTGGGGCTAATTAAAACATATGGCATGGTTGAAAACACCTCTGGTAATACCTGAAATACACATTATACCATTGTAATACAAAGAAGTCATCTCTTTAGCAAGAGCAGATCCTGCTGCTGGATCTTCATGGTTTCTCACCTACAATGTATGTGCATTTTTGGTCTGCAAGCTCCCACCTTCTTGATTGCTTCTTCTCTCTTTGTTTTTTGGTTTTTGTTTTTGTTTTTCCTTTACTGCCCTGGGCACATCTTTTGTATGTTGAAATAATTTGGTTTAGTGTATAGTTAGAAATGTCCATGTCACACTCACTAATCCTATTGTAGGGAGTAAAGAATGAAATCAGTTGTATAAAAAACCCTCTCCATTTTAATATTCTAGTTTTAGGGATTAAAATTTCTGGTTGCTGGGTTGGTTGGTGTTTGGTGGTTGGGTTTTTTTGGGGGTGAAGTTTTTCTTTGTTTGTTCAGGGTTTTTTTTTTAATGTATAGTTATATCCAGCAGAAACAGACAGTTGGATGCCTCTAGGAATTCTATCAGCCAAGCACTGGGGCTGGGCAATGCCCCACAAGATTGTAGGGCAGAGCTGTTACAACTCACTGCATCTTCTTCTGGAAATAAACCAGCCAGTCACCATTCCTGCTTGTTACATAAATCCTTCTGCTGACCTCCTTTTTCTCATCCTTGTGTCCTTCCCCTCCAAAAGGCCTGCATTCACATGTGGTTTGAAACTGAAATTGGGTCAGTTCTTCAAGGAAGGCAAACAAGGGGTGGCTGTTGGTTAACTTTGGTGTTGGTGGATATTCCTGTTGCTAGGCCAGGGCTGACCTTATGGATGGACTGGGGACCAGGCATTACACTGCTTTCCCTGTCACAAGACAATTCCAAGTCCCTGCATCCTGCCTTGCTGAATTTGTGTGGGTGTCTGAGCAGTTGCTGGCAACACTTGTACATGGCCTTGGAAGGCCCAACCAGCATGACTGTGTAATGTCCAGGCAGAGGCCAGGTTATTTGTTCTGGGTTTGTGTCAGATCGTGCAGACCATACTGGTCCTGATTGACTCAGCCCATGCTATGAGCTCTCCAACAACCTGTACTCATCACATGAGAGCAGTCCTCAGCTGCACATTTCCCCTCTTGGTTTTATTGCCAGTCTAAAGGTCAAATTGTCCTTATCTGGTGGTTGTAAGCAATCTTCTGCTCTGCCTTGCCTCAGTAGCATCTTTCTGAAGCTGGGACACAGGGAGTGTGTGTTGTGTCTGAAAGCAGGCCCTGGGCATGTGTCTCCTCATCCTTCCAGTCCTCCTGGGCCGCTCCAGCTGTGCTTTGAATGATGGCTGAAAACGGCTGGGACAGAGAAGAGAACCAGGACTCAACAGTGCAAGTCATCTGTTCGTCCTGCCAGAAGTAAAAAAATCGTTTCCTTTCTTGCTGATATTCCAAGGTCATAGTGTGTTGTAGGAAATTGCATTACAGTGGGATTCATTTGTGTGAAGGCACTGCTTTCCATAGCATGAGTTTATATTGAACTTACTCTCCCCAGCGCATTTCTGCCTATGGCACATTGGTTAAACTGAAAGGCATCTGTTTGGTTTTGGTTTTGTAATAAAATAGATAACTTTTGCTCCAGTGTCTTGTCGTGGTTACTTGTTGAATCTTGATTTCCAGTTATTCCTACTGTGCTGTAGGATAGAGAAGGGGACTTTCCTCCTTGCAGAGTCAAGTGTCAGTCTGTGGTTGGGTTTGGAGGTCTGTGATGTTTCTCCCCTGTGTGTAAGCCTCCAGGCTGAATTCAACTCCAGAGTACATCTCCACTGTGGTTTGATGACAGCTGTGTGAATCTGCCCAGCCTGCTCAGAAAGGCTGTGAAGTTTCAGCAGGAATGTAGAGATGATGCAGAAGATGGGGTGTGGGATCTCCTAGCACAGTCCCCACACCATGAGTAGGAGACAGGCACTGCACCTTGTGTGCTCCTTGCACATGGGAGCCTTCATACTTCACTTTGCAGGTCATGCCTCGCTACATGGGAGCCTGAAATAGTATCTTATTGCAATAGCTGTAATAACTGTTGTCCAGAACCTTTTAATCCTCAAAGAGGGTAAGTAATAAGCCATGCTGGGAAGCTGCTGCTGTTGTAAAACACAGGTTTTTCTAGGCTACAAGGAAGTGGCATTCATCAGAGGCTGCAGCATCAGGTCCTCCAGAGGGGCCATACACTGATCCCTTCAAGTGCATTTGACCAGCTTTGTTAGCACTGTCATTTCACTTGATCACATGTAAATCTCTTGCAATGAATAAGGAGCCAACTCATTTATTGCACGTAGAAGGCAAGGCAATGGCAGTCCCAGGCAAGTGTTTCTGCTTGTATGGTAGTCACAGGCTCGATTGTTTGTAGGTGGTCAGAGAGGGCTCTGCTAAGTCTTAGGGGCAAATTCAACAATAAAAGAAGGAAATCCAGAGGTGTGACAGCCAATATGCATCTGTCAAGAATGAACTGGCAAACCAACTTAATTTCCTTGTGTTACCAAGTTGTATTACAGTAGTAGTTGTTACCTCTGGGGTTCTGCAAAACTTAACTAAAACCAGGAAAAGGATATTTTGACAAAGAAGACCAGTTCCTTGGCCATGCTTCCTGGTTCTGGAGTCAAGGTAAGGTACCCTAAGAGGCCTTCACCCTTTCCCTGCCATTCTGAAAGCAAGCCACAAGGACTGAAATGGGCTTGCTTCTGCCTCTGCTTCCAGTAGTGATACTGCCATTCTCCTCCTCCTCCCCCTGCCTTTTTTCCTCTTTTCTGTAACATAGCTAACACAATTGACATGCAGAATGTTGACCTTCCGATTTCTCAGCAGCCAGCCCTTACAAGCCATTTCAGGCAAAATACCTTGGCAACGGTTCAGAAGCTGATATTAAATTGGACAGAACGATCTGCAGAAGTGATGCTCCTTAGTCTGGAAAAGACCTTGAATAGGAAATGGGTTGAAAGAATGCCACCTTAGGAACCAGGAGTCTTAACAGTAGTGTTTTGTATGGAGTGTTTGCCAGAAAACCCAAGACTGGCTACTTTGGGAAGCAATTACGCTTTTTCTAATTCTGCTGAGGGCCTTCTTACTCATTTTAATGATGGGTTTTGTTTTTCAAAGGGGCCTTGCCTGTGCATTCCAGGAGTTGCTTTGTGTTGTAGCACAAACCTATATTCCCCATCTCCTGCAAAAGCATAAATGAACATTTATTCCACATTATGTTTTCTTTCAGCACATTGGGACTGAGCTGAAGGTTTTCAGCTGAGGTAGAGGGGCCATGGCCCTGCTGTGTGCTCAGCCAGCCCATGCCCACAGCCCAGGCAGTGGTGGTGGGTGGCTCTCTGTGCCCAGCTGAGCTAGACCTGCACTGGGCAATGAGGGAGGCAGCTGCTTGTGGCTCCATTGGAGACTGAGGTTACCACACCTTGCCTCCTCTCTGGTGCCAGCAGGAATAGCTCAGATCTCCTGCACACCACTCACAACTAGGTGTCCCTAGTTTGGACCTCAGAATAGTTTCTTGGTGCAAGATCTGGGAGTCTGAAGTATAGATGAATACAGCTCACCTTATCAAAGTAAAGAAATTCAGTCCCAGTAGAAAACAGATCCTTAACTCATTGCTTTATGGTGTGTGAACAAAAGTCTCTGGTGAAACAAGTTGTTCTGCAGCATCGCTATGCTGTGCTTCAAGCACTTAAAAACTGCAGTTTGAGTGTCCAGTGTCCCATTTCACAGTACAGCTCTGGCCTTGAATAGCATTAAGTGCCACTGCTATCTCCCTCAGTCATGATTTTGGCTGGGACCATTGAAGTGATTCCTGCTGGCTTCACCATGTCAGAAAAGAGTTGACACAGCATCTGGCTGAAGAGAGAGAGCTATTTCTGAAGAGACTTGGATGTTCCCACTCTGAGCTGGCAGGTTGTCTCAGGGAAAGCTGTATGAAGGTGGCTGAGGCTGGGTTTTTTCACCTGTAGCCCAACATGAAAGAAAATGTTTGCATTTCTGGAGCTTTTAAAATTGCTTCAGATTAATGGCTTAATTTTTGCAATGTTTATCAGAGGACTTTTGCACACTCTAGGAGCCTGCAAAGAAACCTTGTTGTCCATCTGCGATTGTGGAAGTCCA